CAACCGCTAACACATTTCAGTTATCTGTACGACCACGGTCGACATCAGGGACTTGTATTTGTACAGTATCACCAATTTGAGTCAATCTTCTCGACTTACACCAGAGCATATCTGTGATTGTCGACATACACCGGTGAGGGTCCGAATATACAAGAATGTAATGCAATATTCGGTCTTCCACCGACGTATTTGGTGAATGTTGGCATTCTCCGGTGGAAGTCGACATTCTCCAATTTCGGTCTTTCACGGTAACATCTATATATGATGTAATAAAAAGCAAGGAAAAGACGGGAGCAGTGTTGATGCGTAATAACTAGATAAGATAGATCATTTAAGAATAGATGTGCCCATTTAAGAACATTTACATTTTTGATATTATTGCAATAGGAAGCAGCATAGCGAAATTACATCCTAGCAAAGCAGAGAAAGAAGCTGAAGTGCGTAGTTATGCAAGATGGAAGCACAGAAAGAGAAAAGTTTTGGTATACGATTATTACGTCATCAGAGCTGCGCGGGCTATAGAATGATCTGGAAATGACGCTATCCCGAGAAGTTATTACGATTTTTAAAACAGAAAGAGAGAATTAAAGTTTGACAGTTAGTTTAAATTATAATTTTAATCCACATATTTTTTTATCTTACATATATATATAAAGAAAAACGTCTGTTTATGTGTTTGTTCGCGATTAACTCAGTCACTACTATAGCTATCGTTATTAAACTTTCCACAATTATTTTCTTGGTCCTGGGAAAAGTCGACATTCACTTTTTCCCAAAAACATATGGCTAAAATCACAGATATTAATTAAAAACTCTGAAAACGCTAATTTTTGCCCTCATTTTTCCGAGTGGCAACAGTCTCGCACGTTGCAGATAAAAATCTGCTTTACTTCGAGAAGCATTGCCACTTTTCTCTTTCAAATCGTAGTTTGCTAATAAAAAATTTCTAAGTTTTACAATGAAATGAAAAAAAGCATTGCCAAACATTAAATACATTATTTCCGATTCCAAAAATTCGTGGGAAGCCATTTCGACTGTTCACATCTTCGTACAACTTTAATCAGCCGAGATATCAATTAAAAACTCTGAAAACACTAATTTTCGCACGCATTTTTCCGAGTGGCAACAGTCTCGCGCTTTGGAGATAAAAATGCTTTTATTTTATTTCGAAAAGTGTGGCTACTGTTCGCTTTCAAATAGTAGTGGTTGTTAATCAGAAATTTCTAAGTTTTAACAAAATCTATATATATATATATGTTTGTATGTTTGTTCGCGTTATTCATTTTTCATCAATTATTATGAAATTTTGCCACATTTAATCGACTAAAATTGATCATAGATGAAATATTGAATGGAACTTGAGCTTTTACGATCATTTGATTAGAAAGACTATTATTTTTTTATCGAAATTATGTGGGTTACATATCGCATCAGATTCAAAAATGTATAACTATGTATCGTATTTTTTGCATCGTTATTAGAAAGGGATTACAGCGGTATCGTTCTCTCTGTTGCTGGATACGTCACTCTCAAAATACTTAACTGGCATCGGATACTTCCGCTAATACAAAATGTAACGTAAAACTATCGCTTTTAATATCTTTCTTCATTAGCAAACCTCTTATGCTTATTAAAATAATATTTATTAATTCGGTTTATGCTCAGATTGATCCTCTATTTTGCACGAAATGCCAAGCAAATCTACCTTTTTCATTTTTTAGCCATTTGCTTGTAGTCCCCAAGAAAAAGAAAAACAAGCCTAGTTTCTCTTTGATATGAAATATGAGCGATAATGTTACAAATTCCACTTTTTTTTTATTCAGTCTTTTGAAGTTTTCCTTTTGTTCACCCCCCCCTCATTCGTGATTAATGAGTTACCACCTTCCGACTACCTATGCGCTTGCCGGCTAGTTGCAAAATTGTGGAAAGCCCGGATTCCACAGCACTCATAGTGATGAATCGACTTTCAGATTAAGCCAGTTTGGGCTAATACGTTTATGTAAACGTCTATAAAACAAAGTGTGCTGCGCATTTAAAATAATGACCTTATAATTTGTTTTTGCAGTGGACTTGTAAGAAGAGGCATTTAGAGATTAATGAGGAAGGCGTGAGAGAATGTTAGGCATTTTGTTATTAATGAGTTGTAGCTTATCCATAAAGGCTTATTTTTGAGATACTTTTGTGGGATTTTGATAAAGTATTGAGATTTATTGGTTTATTGTGTATGGAAGTCGGGAATATCCTTAAATATTTTTATTTTTCAGATTTGCGTATGAGAGAGAACGATGTAAATGAAAATTCTCGGAAGCAAAAAGTTTATGCTTATTTTATAGATTTTTACGTTATATTTTGCTAGTATCTGATTATTCAGAATTCTTTCCTGTTTATACAGTAAATATCAATGCTTTGAGTCCAGAAAAGTCTTTTCTCTAAAAATTTGCAATTAAATTGAATTTTCCTTTCCTACTACTATTATCTGTTGCTTGATGGACAATTTTCCTTTACCTGTTTACTTCCATTCTTCACTTCTTCGTGTCATTTTATTTTTATTTTTAAGAAAATGTTAGTTCCCTTTTTTAAAAAAATTCATTTGTTGACTTTTCTTTTAAAAAAAAACATTTTCATTAATTTTTGTACTTTTCGGCATTGGGACTTAAATTGCATAACTGATTGGAATTGATGTTGCCTTCAAACTGAAAAAGAAGCAAAATTTGAAAATTATTTTATACTTCTACGAGTTTCAAATGTAAACATATTCGCGCGTCACGTTAGGCTTAGCTGAACTTGCACTTTTAAACTGTGTATAATTTGGCTAAATTTTTTTTGGCTAACTGCTTTTTGGCTAAATTTGTACTTTTGAAAGGAGTTATTTTCATTTCATTAATCTATATATATTTCATAATTTATACTGAATGATCTAAAATTCACTTAGTTTGAAAGATAATATAATCAATATTTCTTTAGTAAATTAATTATTATTTCATAATTTATGTATACCACTGACTCATCACGAGATCTTCGAAACTATACACCCGATTGATTTGAAATTTTGCATTCCACGATGTAGACGCACACTAAGAACGAATTTTACGTAAATCCTGTCCAAAATGGATTTTTGTTATACAATAGAAGTTTCTCATACATTTGGTTTTCAAATCCAAGTTCAGAACTTTCTTTTATTGTTGCCAAAACTAGATATGAAATACAGTGTTGCCAACGAATGCATTTTCCTTTAAAATTATTAAATTGATAAATAACTTGCATCTATCCGATGAATATAAACAACATTTAAATGATAAGGTTAATAATGTTTATATTTTAATTGTTATCATAAGTTCCATGAAAATAAATCTTATTATTAAGAGAAATAAATTATTGCGATGAAAAGTAAAAATGTTATTTATAAAAATTACCATACATAAAAAATCAAGGACAAATAATTTTAAATGATTAGAAAAATTGATACCAAAGATAATAACATTAATTTTCGTGAAACTTATGATAACAGTTAAATACTATATAGATAAACCTTAGTTTTATGTTGGCAATTTTTCGTGGTGTAGGCGTACTGGGGATCCCGTCACGTTAAATAATGGGGACGCATCCCAGTGTATAATACCTCATGGGTGATGGGAAAATCTGTGTGTGACAGATTCACTGACTGGTACTATATTTCTCGACTTTAAATTAAAAAAATTTACATTAATTATCAATTCGAAATTAGACATTTCGTCCATATAAGAAGTCTAGGTTCACATTCAAATAGTGTGCCCAGCAAAGCGGGAAAATATCAGCTAGTTTGATTATATATATGTACTCGACTCGCTGAGCTCTGTGTGAGTTTTCCTTTTTTAATTCTTATGTGTTTTTTAAATTTTGCTTCTTTTAACCAAAGCGATTGAATTATGTTTTTTTTTATGTTCCAGTTAAGGTTTTATGCATTTAGTTAATCTGCGGGCAATAGTTGCAGAATTATACACAGTTTAAAAGTGTAAGTTCAGCTAAGCCTAACGTGGCGTGTGACGCGAATTTGTTTACATTTGAAACTCGTAGTAGTATACAGTAATTTTTGAATTTTGCTTCATTTGCTTTGAAAGGGATTGAATTATGTTGTTCGTATGTTTCGGTTAAAGATTTTATGCCTTTAGCTAATCTGCGTGCAATAGTTGTAGAATTATCAATAGTTTAAAAGTTTAAGTTCGGCTAAGCCTAACGTCGCGCGCGAATTTGTTTACATTTCATAGTATAGTGAATTAAATCAGTTGGTGCACCAATGTCAGTGCCGCTTTGCCCAGTGGGACCAAAAAGTAACTCTGAAGTTTGGTGTATCGGAAAGTGTGTCTTCCCGTCTAGATTTTGTCAAGTTTACATTTAGAAACTCTAATTTTAATTACAATTTTTTTTAAAAAACTGTATTCTCTGATTTAGGTTTTTATGTATCTTACAATTTCTAATGAAGATGTTTTGAGTTTTTATGTATTTTCGCCTTGCCGTTGAGGAAGAACTGAGTTAATTGAATGAGAAATATATCTCTAATGAAATTCGAGGAAATAGGTTTAAATGAAATGCGGCAAAAAATGTGTATAGTTTAAAAAGGCGTACAAGGAAGTCATATGGTGACTGCATCAGATTTTGTATTTATTTATTTTTATGTTATTTTTCATGAAATTTTCGAATTTTCAATACTTTGTTATAAGATATTTCTCCCGCTCTCCTAGCGTGCCTTCGTGGTGTAGTGGTTCTGCACGCTGGACTGGTATTCCAGAGGTCCGTAGTTCGATTCCCGACGAAGGCGTTTACTAATTTTTCATCTTGCCTGCTTCCCCCCCTAAAAAAACACCTAATGTCTCTAGAGACATTAGGATTTTTTGGAAGGAACGAACTAAGGAACACCACGAAGGCACGCTAGGAAGGTGGGAGAAATACCTTATAAAGTTTTATGTAGCTGGTAAACTGTGTTATTTTATAACAGTTATTAATAACTTCTGCATTTTTTATAGGCTAACAAGGAACTATACGACTTGTTTGAAGACCTTCGGGATGGCCATAACCTCATTTCTCTTTTGGAAGTTTTATCCAACGAAATTCTTGTGAGTACAAAATTCTGAGTTTTTGAAAACCGATATTTTTTCTTTCGATATTTTCACTGTAGGGGAGATACGTAAAACAAGAATAAATAAAATAATCTTAATAAAGCATTCAGACCATTGAAATATATGCTAATTAATGCTTAGTTTCTTTTAATAATATTGAATTCACCCCCTTGTAAAGTACTGAAGTTGAAATAATATTGAAGTTACCCCCCCCCCTTCGCAATGAATATTCTGAAAAGCGTTATTTGAAATATTTTGGTTGCTCAGAACAAACCTTAGAAAAGAAGGTATATTCCTAATGTTATTGTTACATATGGCTTTATTCGAAAGATCAATCCAAACATATAAAACAGCTCAAGTATCACACAAGAACAACGATAAATAATAAAAAAGAATGAACATTTACAAATAATGAAGAATAAATGAACATGGGAACAAAAGTAAAAAGTGAAAATTTTCAACAGCAAGGAAAGAAACATAAGAGATGTAGTGTTTACAAGGAGTTCATGTAAGCTCTGGCATCCTGAAAGCTGCAGTCTTCTACAAAAGCAGTGTTTACAGCGTTGAGATGGAAATGTTCACCTAAAATTGCGAGATAGGGTACTTTTCCCGTTTCGCCGGCGCAAATCTCGCCAAGCAGACTTTGTTGGCGAAAGCATACAGTATCATAAAAAATTTTAGTTCTAAGAATTTTTTATTTTGAAGACATAAACATATTAATATGATTTAAAGTTTTGTAAAAAGCCAATAAATAAAAACAATAAATTTGTAAAAAGACATAATTTAAAAATTTACTATACTTTCATGGTTCAACATACTGATTTGCCGGTTTGTATCACAAGTAATCTCACATCACGTAAACTACGCTACAAAAATCTAATTCTCTCAGTAATTATCTACATTAATTTCGAGTTAAATCTTAGTTTGGAATACAAGTTTAAATGCAAGAATTATTTCAATTCGTACGAATAGCTTACTCAGAAATTATGTAAAACTGCAGTGTTTTTACTTCACTAGTTCATTTTCATTAGAATGGATGAATTTAACCCTTGCCTTTGCCTTTTCTATATTTTCGCCTTCGGGTGAGCGGTGTGATTGCATCCTAATTGATTTAATTACCGCGAATGGCCTTAGGGCATAAAATTGAACTATCCAGGTAAAAATTCGGTGCTACTTTGGTAGACGGTTGCACGGATTTTTGGCGATTTATATTGGCGCAATTGTTGGCGCGGTTTTTATACTCGTCAGCCATCTTGAAAAATGCTATTTTTACGTATTTTACGCCTAGTAAAGTATTCGAAATTTAAAAAAAAATAAATATCGTTAAAAATAATGGATTAATTTTCTGTTGAAAATGTTGTTTTTAAGATGGCTGGCAAATGTAAATACATTTACTAAGAGTATAAAATGCTAAAGTAAAGTTAAATTATTACTTTCTATAATAGAAAAAAACACACTTATAAAAAACATTGCGCCAACATTTTAATTGGATAAAAATTACTTAATTGAATATCGAATTAAACATCATATTAACGTTTAAAAAGAATTAAAATTAGTTAAATTCAAATACTTAAAATAAGTTTTATAGGATATAATTATTTAACATTTAAAACATATGTGGCAATAAATATCTCGGGAATTTGGAAAACAATGTATTAATTTTTTAATAAAAATTGAGTATACAATATAAAGTAAAATAAAAATATGTTTTACTTTTTTTTTAAAAGTCGATTTTGATAAGTACCACAAAAAAAAAAAAAAAATCTTCATCTCACATCCACATTTTTCGCACTTCATTGAAGAAGCAATTAGCAAGGTTTCCTCCAAAAATTTAAAATAAATTTCCTCTGATTCTTTGTTACAATTTATAAATAAATCTTTTATTAGGAAAGACAGGTTGGCCAAAATAAGGTCTCAAAGGGCAATTTTTTTTATTCCGATACCAATAATTCTTGTTAATTACCAATAACAACATTAATCTTCGACGGACATATCCTTCGCTTTGAAATCTGAGGAATTCGAAGAGAGAATAATACAATTTTAAAATTTCGCGGTTAATGCACAAATATTCCAGTAACCAATCAGGGAGCTGATTACATCACGCATAGAATTAAAATTATTTAAATATCATTCATAATAATTATTTTTAAAAAAATGCAAATTAAATTGTATTTTAATATTTAACTGCCATAAATAATGTTTAAAACATTAGATTAAATTTATAGATTTTAAACTAATTACTTTTAAAATAAGGTGACGTCATTGATTACATCATCCACAAAATAAAATATCATAAACAATACAATTTTAATTTCAAATAAAAATGCAAAATTAAATTGATTTTTAATATTTAGAAGCCATAAATAATATTTAAAACACTGAATTTATGCATAATAAAACGCATTATTTTTTAGATAAAATGACAACAAAGTATCAGTTACCATAAATAACTTGTCCAGCAATGGGCTAACCATAAGTCGTATTACTCGCCAAAAAAAAAAAAAAAATCGCCAAAATCCGTACAACCGTCTACCAAAGTAGCACCAAAAATTCTATGTAATTGTATGCCAGTATTGAAAGAAACAATCTGATAAGAAATGGCTGTTACTTGGTTTGAAAATGAGGCGTAAAAGGTTACCAGCGAGGACATTCGGTTTGGCATCAGTTGTACCATTATTGGCGACTTTATCGCCTGCGCCGGCAAAACGGAAAAGTACCCGAGACAGTTACTGTTAATTATTTTTCATTTTGAGATTATGAAGAGGCATGTTTTCAAGATGCATTTTAACTGCACGAAACATGGCTGAAAGGAATTCAGCCATATTTCACTGCTAGAAGAAATCTTTTGCAAAATTCTGCAATGTATAAATACCTTTTGAAGTTGAGAATGCTGTGAAAACTTCGTTTTTGAAGCACTATATAACTGAAAAATATTCTACGCTTTCTGTTCATGGCAAAACTCTATAGATTTTCATACTGCTTTAAATGCCAGATACTAGAATCATGAAGATAGTCAGACGATTTATCGTCTCCTGGTAACTTCTAAATAGAGTGACCACTAAAACTGAGTGACTTCATCTTAGATGAAGATTTAAAATAAAGCTTTTTATTAACATTCCAACCTGATGGTCATTGAAACTGATAACAATAACAGAAAATTATATTTTCGTAGCTTTGGAGAAATTAAAAACAAAATGCTTAAGTCAAATTATAATATTAAATGCAAGCAACTCGTGCCTAAGTATGCTTAGCATCAGGCCTCAGTATTTTCACGAAGCAATTACGGCTATCGAAGCTAAAGCGGATTAATTAATTCATTTATTAAGGAAATACTAGTGAGCGATGATTGCAAAGGCTTCTCTCTCAAGAGCTGTGCGCTTAAATAAATTAACTAATTTGTGTCCTAGTGGGAGCAAACGAAAGTAGAAGTGAAAATAAATACAAAATTATAAGATAACTAGTTTAAATAACGTAAACTTCTACTGCCGCCTCCATCAGAATTTAAATAATTTGAAAACGAAGGTTTAAATGACCTTGGTAGAGAATTTAAAACTTCTAAATTAACTAGGAGCCTAAGCTTTTACAAAGCTTTTGCATCTTTAAAAGCTTTAATTTAGGAAGGCTTTCGGAAGCCTTAACTCACTTCTTTTGAGGCCTTAATTCAGGACTTTCTCCCAGCTTTCCTGGAATTTGCTGAAAGCTTTTGTTCACGTTTACTTTGATTTCGCGGCACAAGTTCCGTTAGGTATTTATTTCTTCACGGTATGAAAATTTTGGTGCACATTTCCATCGTCTAGCAGGCCTGAAGCTGAGCATATGTTCCAACTAGAAAAACTGCACGACAAAAATTGAGCGGGATATTTAATTTCAAAATGTGCAATTTTTGATGTCATTTTCAGCTTGCCTTGAGGGATAGATTAATTAAGTTAAGAATAATTCAGGAAATAAGTTTAAATGAAGTGCAGCAAAAAATGTGTATAATTTAATGGGCCATGTAGTGTCCACGTTAGATTCCCCCCCCCCGTTATCTTTATGAAACTATTCTACCTCCATGCTGAAAATGTTTTATAAAATACAAAAACTATTGTGTTACGGATTTTGTATTAATTTAGCTATTTTTAGTAGAATTTGTAATTAAAATTGTTTTACATTCCCGTGCAATGCAGCACAAGACTTATCTGAAGAGAAAGCTATGCAGGAAAAATTAAAATACAGGAGCACGCGCATTTAACATTTTAATAAATAGATATCTCGTAATTGTACTCTTTTGCTATCCAGAAATATCGAGAAAATACTAGGATGTTCTCGTGCACGATTAAAAAGCTTATAAAAGCTGGAGGAAAACATCTCAGTTGAGTTGTTTACTTAGTTCTTGTTGTTGATTGTAGCGAACTCGCGGTGAGATAGGATTAGCTTTCTCTATTTTGAACTGAGTTCTAAATATGTGGTTAACTTCGCTTGCCAGGCCGAAAGCACTCACACCATTGGAAATAGGGTCAGTTTGAATGCCTAGCAGGTATCAGACCACATAACTCAGAACACATAACTCATTTTAGAACTCAGGTCAAAACAGAGAAAGCTAATCCGATCCCACCGCCTTTTTTATCGAAAAATTTAAGCTAATAGCATCTTAACGAGCAGAAAAAATGTAGAACAGTCTTGCCTTTCGGACGAACGAGGAAGAAGCATGTGCCATCGAAAAGATATTTATTAAAGATATTATTCCAATTTCACTTGGACGGGAAAATTGAAGTGATTAGGCCGAAAAGGTATCAAAGTGGGAGAGAGAACATTTAAAGGTAGGTCGAATCGTTACCCGTCGATGGAGAAATGAATTTTGAGGCGAAACAGCATACACACGAAAATCAAGTACACACATAGCGCTGCATAACGGTCAGACCAGCTGTCACAACACAAATGGTCAATGATCCGGGCCAGAATCAGATACAGAGGCTCTTCGCACATTTTTTAGACGATTTTGGTAAGCGGTAATAAAAAATCGTTTGCTGCAAAAGAAGTCATTGCAATTGTACTATGTTTTTAAAAGTCAAAATTATGTCTGTGGCTTGAAATTTGTTTTATTCAAAATGGCGAATTTAACAAAGCAGTGGTTCGAAGGCTACATTTACGTGTTTCCGAAGTGAATATGCATACTCCGTATCCAAAATCGATGTGAGAGTCATGGTTTCGATATTAAAGCGTCGATTGGTAATATCATCAAAAGAAAGGGAAAAAAAAAAACGTCAAATTGGAGCCTCAAGTGGGACAAAATTCCAAACAGATTTAAGGAAAAAAACGGACTCTTCGACATTGCAAAGGACGTTGTTTAATTTTAAAAGAAAATCCCCCTAGTCAAAGGACAGTTGCGAAATCATTAAAAAATGCTCGGTGTCCACTGTAAACAAAATGATAAACGTTGATTTAAATCTTAAGAAAGCGAAAAAATGCGTCTTCTTCCAAAGCATATCGCTGAAGGTAGGACACGCTGCAGAATTCTATAATAATAAATGGCTCTCAAAAATAAGAGCCATTTATTATCATAGAAGGGGAAGAAAAAATTTAAGTATATGGTTCAAAGAATCGAAAGAAAGTTTTTCTAAGGGATTCATGATTGTTGCTAGTTTTCTTATAATGGCAAGTTAAAAATAAAGAGAGTGCAAAAAATGTCAAAATTAACTCAAAATACTACCAGGAACATATTTTATTGCCAATTTTTCTGAATGAAATACCATCGCTTTACCCACAGTGCCATCCATCTGTGAGACTCCATCAGGACAAAGCTAACAGTCACACGTCAAAATCCACTGTAAATTTCCTAAAAGAAATGGAACAAAACCGGTATCAAGGCCATACCTTTCACTGATATCCTTACTTAATCTCCCGATGTGTCACCTATGGATTTTTGTGCTTTCGGACATTTATAAACTGCATTATCCAAAAGTTGTGCCCAAACCCTAACAGGACTTTGGAAAGCTGTTCGGGAGGAATGGGATAGAATACCTCTTCTGCCACTTCAAAAGGCATTATTATCCTGGAAATTGCGGTGTCGAAAGATAGCTCAGAATAAGTGGTGTCAAATAGAACATTTAAAACACAAGAATTTTATGTAATTTAATTTTGTGAATACAATATATATCGTCTAAAAAATGTGCGAACAGCCTCTGTATATGGAGGCCCTAAGCACTTAAAAGATTCTTGTGATCCCCCGTGTACAATTTGCGACTTTTTGTCCCCCCCTCATTTTTTTTTTCTTTCGCGTTTTGTTCAGCTGCACCATATATTCCATGATAAAACTGTATTTGATAAGAAAGTTCTGTGGTGTACTCTTTCCTGATCGGATTCGAATCCCGGAATAGGCATGGATGTAAATGTATATTGCCTTTGCTGCATGGGGGCTTTAAAAATATGCGGCGAGCCGAAAGCTCTCCCGAGAGGTTGGTGGGTGCCTAAAGTTTTGCCAACGACAGGTGCAATATTGCCTCTTTACCACGATGAATTTCGTGGGCTTGTTCTGATTTAGACAAGGGAAATTAGTCTCAATAACAACAACATTCGTTAATCCAGCCCCTGCAAATATTATCCTGCAGGGAGATATTATTATATTTCCCATTACTAACTATTCTGTCGATCTTCTTTGTTGTTATATTATCAGAAGAAACATCCTTATCTATTTACAGTGAATTGTATTATTGAGGGCTTCTCTGTTTATACAAGTTTTTCAATTTTAATTAAATTGTTTTTCAGTAAGGACTGTTACGTAGTGTAAAATCGGTTGTTCACATCATGTAACAGTCCTTACTCACGTGATCTACCCTATTTTTCAGCTAAAAACAATATTTCACCACTTCAAATAATGGGCTGCTACTTGCAAGGACATGTAGGCAATTAATTAATGATAATAATAAAACCTTGGTGTGTGTCTTTTTTAAATTAATCAATTACTTATTATTACATTTTTTAATCACTCTTAAATCTGTGCATTAGGACAAGCTTTGAAAAAACGATAAACAGGAATGAAATTATAAATATATGCATAGAAATTTTTTTAAAATATATTTTATGTGTCTTATTTCTTTTATAGCCCAGAGAAAAAGGAAGCATGCGGTTTCATATGCTACAGAATGTACAGATAGCTCTCGATTTCCTCAGGTTTAGAAAGGTATGTTTAGCTTGAATTTTTTTTATTTCTTTTTTAATGTAAATATTGTTTTATGCTATTATGATATAATATAATATAATAATAATATAATAAAATGTAAATATTCTGTAATAATGCAGGGTATTCTTTAATTATCATAGGAATTAATGAATTTCCATCACATTGATTCTTGAGTTTTGAGTGGTCTTCACGAAGGCTGTTTGGGCAGTCATTAAAAATCGTAGTTTACGCAAAAACGATGAATGATCTGTTCAGGGGCTGAGGGAGAAAAAAAAAAAAAAAAAAAAAAAAAAAGTCGTGAGTCCGATCCTACGTCATCAAATGTAGTCCATGGACCTTATAAGAAATAGACTAACCCAAACAGGTTTTCTCCCTCGTCTGAGGCGTTGCCGGCTGTCACCTGGATCCCATCTGGAGGAGTAGGGACGACTTGCAGAAATTTAACTTTGGCTGCCTATTGCAGCGTGTGTAATTGTCACGAGAAAGTTGGTTGTAGCGCCTCATTTCAAATTAGAATTCTACATATTTTATTTTTGAAATGAGATTGATTTTTAAGAATTTAGCATATTTATCAAGCATAATTAACGTTCCAAATAATTATAAAGTTATTGCATGCTTTCAGGGCTGGATATTTTTTTAGCTCTTCCTATGCTGTAAGGAAATTTGTAACTACTTCTTTTAGAAAATAATATTTTAAATCTGAACTAATAGAAAATTTCAAACAAGCATTTGTAATTTTTACGCTTTTTATTGGTGTAAATAAGTAAAAAATATTTAAAAACGAATTTTTGAAAGTTTTGTTTAAAATTCTAATTTGCGCTGCTTTTTTAAAATTATAGAGGAGTATTATAGCACAATTTCTATAAAGGAATTTTATTTCAATTATATTTCATAATACATCATAGTGATAAACACTTTTGACTCCTTAAAAATTTTTATACATTTAATTCTAATGTTAAAATTGTATTTAACCGTAATAATTAATTTTGCTTGTATTTTATAGTGATTATTTTTTTAAATTTATTTTAGTTCTGCATAATATTTTTATTTATTTTTTTATTTTTATTTACTGTTATATTATTAGCCCAAATGGGCGGTAGCCTAGAAAGGCTGTTAGTTTCGAAACGAGAATTTGCGCTGTTTTACTATAGATGTCCGTGTGTCCTTGCAAATTGTTGTTACCAATTATTATCGCTCTGTATTATATGTAAAGAAATTAAATAATGAAGAATCTGTATGTTTTTCGCACTGTGACAAAAACGACTGTATCTAGAGCTATCATATTTTGAATAATATAATCCTCCACCCGAACATGGGCATCTGGACGGCCGAATTTCGAATTTGTTTTAATCTATTTTATATTTTGTAAAACTTTAACGAATTTTTGATTAACAAACTTAAAATTAAAGAGCGAGCACTGTACGGAAAATAACAGTTTTATCTCCAGTGCGGGAATTCTAAACATATGCTGTTTTCAAATGTATATGATTTACGGGCGAAGAACATGATATTCAATAAATATAAGGTAACGCACAAAACTTTAAAAAAAGTTCCATTTTGGGCGTAATATAAAATCTGACTGCTTCTAGATTTTATTTTATCTTTATTTTCCCCTTCATTATGCTCAGCAATTTTTATGCTCCGAATTTTATGAATTATTAAAATAACTAATCCACTTAAATGTTAATAATTTAATGATCATGTAATCAAATAAATATGATCGTTTTGTAATGTTATTATAGTTTGAAAAATCCCTGCCTGAAAATGTTCATTAAATTAAAAAAAAAAAATATCAGATCTTGTTTAATTTTACCTTATTTATTTGAAAGCATCGGGTACTATCAATCTTATTTAATTTTACTTTATTTTTATGCAAAATTAAGTTAATAAATTTTGTGCTTAGAGTTTTTACCGTTTTACGAAAGTAAAGATGTTTGTACAAGAATTATGCGTGAAAAAAATGCGTGAAATGCAGTAAAAAGTGCTTATGAGATATATTAAATCCTATTTGGAAACAGCTGTGGTTTTCATAATCTCATCACTATACAACGTATCACATTTAATAATTAAAAAGAGTTATGTGATACAAACGCCATAGGTTTCAGTGTTAAAGTAAACTAGATCGTCCCTACTCTTTCTTGCCGACATGTCGGTGACGCGCGCCCCTCTCACTGGGTTAGTCTATCTCTTATAAGGTCCATGATGTAGTCACGTGAGTGGCAGCATCGACTCCACCTTTCTGATGTAAGCAAGATAATCCGTTTTAGTGGATTTTGTAAAATTCCACATGATTTTGGACATATAGGATACCTTGTATATAAATATAGATTACAGTATCATAGCATTTGCTGAATTTTTCTGAAATATGAAATTGTTTTTGCTCAGAATATAATACAATAATATCATAATATATACTAATAGTATTAATAATATATTGTAATAATAATATGATAATATCGCAATCTCATTGTGTCATAATATAATAATATCATAACAGCTATCCTAATATAATTATACAGTCAAAAGTCGTTAATTCGGACACCCATAATCCGGTATGATCTATAATCCGGACCTACAAACTTTCTGCGCATGCGTCGCTTTGACGCACGCGGATAGGCGTTTACGCGTGCGCGTAAGACCTTTACGGCTGCAAATATATGTGTGCGCATGCGCGTTTAATGTATAACGGACGGTATAAGCTAAGTTAAAATTATCTAATTCAGTTAATGTTGCAGATTGCGTTGTTCCTTATTCTTCGAATTGGATCCGGCTTATTATTTTTTGCAGATTGTCAGAGCAATTTTATAAAAGTTAGCTTGAACTTTCGATTATGTCAAATAGAATTTCCGATATATATTTACTAATATGTACAGGATTTACAAAGCGAAAGTATGTTTCGAAATCCGAAATCTGTTTATCAATTTCACGCTCCTCTGCGGCGGGGCGAGGGGGGGAAACACCGTGACGTGTAATGAATTGGAAGTTGATCTGTCAGCACTATCCTTATCTTCACGGCAGATGTTTTTATTTTATTTGGCTTATAATTCCTTACTAAATGTAGTATTTCATGTCCATGTACTCCGTCTTTGATATGATTTAAAGCAATTATAGGACTTGAACAGCGGAACTTTGTAACTAAACAAGAAATTATGTCTGTTTAATAGAATTAAAGAGAAAGTATTATCACATGAAACGAAGCAACTTAAACAACTTACATTGAAAGAAATGTTTAATAAAGTAAACAAATAAATATTAAGCTTTTTTTTTTTGTAAATTTTGATACCCTTTAGATCATAATTGTTCTTTATTTCATAAATTACGGTTTCATATTTTTAATTTTGTAATTTCTGCATGTCATCTTACCAGATTTAAACTGATGATCTATAATCCGGAAAAATCGATAATCCGGAATCGCCGAAGTCCCGACGAGTCCGGATTAACGACTTTTAACTGTATCATAATAGTATAATCTAATAATATCATAACATTATAAATATATAGGCAAAGGCGTATGAATACAGGAGAGAGGAAAACCTGTGAATATAATTTCTTTTGCGTTTTACTTGAATTTTGAATTCTTTTGAGTAATCTGATATTTTATCTGAACTATTTAAATGAAAGGAAGGAATTCTACTTTGAAAAGTGAACAGTTTTAGAAATTTTGAATCTAGTAATAATGGAACTGTATAAAATTTTGATTCTTCTGTAGTTAACTTTAAAAAATCGCTTTTTAAATTTATTTAAAATATTCTCCCCCAGCAGTTTCGTCAAACAAATCCAGTACTGACTGGAGTTTTTTCTAATTTTAATAATGTCAAAATTTATTATTTCCCAGTGAAAATTATGCATATTTATAAAATATGATTTCTGTTTATTGAGATGCCGTATATCTGTTTGAAACCGAGTGCTGAAAATCAAGATTGAAATTTCTTCTATATATGAGTTCGTGGCATTTAATTAATGATGCAGAATAGAGATAACTAGTATCTTGCGTTTTGGGGGGGATATGAATGAAAGTTTTTAACAACAATGAGCATTACGTCTTTATTAGTTATTTTTAGATCTAAAATAGTCAATAGCAATCTAAAATAGTCAATAGGCAATAAAAGCAAGTGCAATAAAAGGCCGATAATTTCGCTTTTAATGGTTCGAACACCCGATAATCCGGTATGCGCATATCCACTATGCGAGCTTGCTGACGAGGTTCTTTATTTAGGACCAGTATCATTATGGCTGATTGTTATGTAGAGGGGTGTTTTTTAAGTAAGGGCCTCTTGAAAATAAAAACTAAACAAAACAAAAATTTCTACAACCAAATTTATTTTCAGATTCTACATACATTTCCCTATTTTTGAACATAGTTGCCAAGTTTGTTGAACCCTTTAGCACGCTACCTTTTAAAATCGGAGTAGTTATATATATATATATATTTTTTTTTAAAGGGTAGGCAGTCTAATTAGGCCTAGAGGAGCACACAAGTAAAATTTGTGAAGAAAGCACTTATCGTTTTAATTCTGTGGGTGTGTCCAAAGTGGCACACTGGTTGAATAGAGCTTCGAAAAGAGTGCTGAAACGAGCATTGTTGTCAATGAACTGACCGATGAGATTGCGGAGAAACAAAGAATACAAACTCTCAGTTGTCCTAGATTGATCGGTGAGCCCGGTATGGGCACACCTAGGGCTCGGCCGTTTGATTTTTAGGTAAGATTTCAAAGTAAAAATTTTAAAACTAATATAGAATAAGGAAATTAACATACAGCCAAAAAAATAACACAGAAATTTCTTTTCAAACAATTCCTCTTGTACCCTAAAAAAATCTGGAAGATTTCTTTGAAAAATAAGGGTCTTAAAAAACTAAACATGGCTAAAATATATGAACTGGTTTGTATTGAGCTGCAATCTACTATAAATAAAGAAGGTTCAGAGTAACCTATAAATCCTTTTTCATTCAATTTTTCTGTGCGTACAGAAGGAAATTTTTAGGTGTGTCCACACCGGAC